GGGGGGGGGTCGGAGTAAGGGCGGTCGGTCCATGCGACGGCAGAGGGCACTGCCACCCCCGCGGGACGGGCGGGCACCCGTGGGCACAGCGGCGCACATCGGTCCCTTCATCCCCTCCGAGAGCGGCGGGGTGCAGGGGGACCCCCCATCCTCTTCCCCTCCCCGGGGATGACACCTTGAAAAGCTCTGGCACCCCGGGGACCCTCCTCAATTCAGGCTGTCCCAGCGCTATCCTCACCACGCAGAGTGGAGTGGGGCAGGATGGAGCTGGAAAAGCCTCCCGTGGGACTGGGTTGGAGCAGGCAGGACAGGGATGTTGGAGAAGGAGCCTGGAGAGACCTGCTGGGAGACACCTGGCTCCGGACCCCTGCTCCCACCCGGGCTGAGCCCCAGCACAGCTCACTGCACCGCAGAGCCCAGCACCTCCAGCTGGGCCATGAGAAGCAGCCTGGATCTGGTAGCCTCCAGCACCAGGGCACTGCCCCAGCTGGGGTCCTGCACCCCCAAATCCCCTGTGTGATGCCAGGGCACACAGCAGTTGGGAGCAGCACCACTCACCCCTCACCTGGGAAACTGAAGCATCAAGATCCCACCAGTGCCCTCCTTCCCAGTGTCTGCAGGAATGCTCTGCCTTGTTGCTGTTGCAGAGGGAAGCAATCAGAACCTGGCTGTGACCAGAGATGGTTGGCAGCATGTGGCAGGGCACATATGTCCCCAGGGCCACCGGGCACAGGGACAGATGCTTGGGAGCCATCCCTGTGGACACCTTGGCACACCGCCCCAGAGCACCCTTGGGTTGCAGGGTGCCAGCTTCACACTGGGGACTTGACACCCCCTTTTCCTGCTGACTGGTGAAACAAAGCCAAAGGAGAGAAGCAGAGGACAGTGACATGGAGGAAGGGGTGGCAGGTGGGGACCGTGATCTCAGACCAGCTCAAGGGGGTGGCATGCATACAGTGGGAGCCGATGTCCCAGAGTCCTGGAGATGTTTTTCCTCCCCAGTTTACTAAGACACAAAGAACCTAAAAGCCTTGAGAGCGCCTGGCCTCTGCACACCCTGTGCCCCCGCATGGGCTGGCAGCAAAGACAAAACCAGCCCATGGCCTCCCTGGCCAGTGGCCCGCTGTGCTGGAGCGATGGATCTGTGCCTGGCTCTGTCCCCAGCCGGGTGACAATGATGAGGGGGGCGGGGAGGAAGGCCATGGGGACACCAATGGAATCATTGCTGCAGCACTGCATGCCAGCGCCAGCCCCAAAGAGCTGGGAGCCTGGGTCTGTAGCAGAGCTCGATGTTTTTGCTCAAAGAAATTTCAGAGCAGGCGAGGGATGATAGGACAAGACCAGCAAAGCTCTGTGGCAGCTTGGTGGCCCTAAGCTGGCCCTGCCTCTGCTCCCAGCAGCAAACGGAGGGGAGCTGGCTAAGTGAACACATGGAGGGCAGGAAGGGTCCAGGAGCTGCCCTGAGATGTGCCTTTCCTCAGGACATCTTCTCTCACAGCAGAGGAGCTACTGAAGCCAAAGGGCCGGAGGGTGAAGTGTAAACAAGACATTACGCAAGGGAAAAAACCCAACAAGCTGGAAATAGTGTCTGAAACTGAGCAAAAGAGGTGCTGCCTGCTCCTATGGGAGTGATGAAGGCAAAGAAAGCTCATCCCCCTCTGGGGATGGAAACATGCTAAACCCAGGGGTTTATGTCACAGGGCTGGTGACAGCAGGGACAGCAGCAGAGTGACACTAGCCAGGGGCTCGGTGGGGCTGGCTCAGCAGATGCTGGGGTGGGTGATGCTGCTGGGGAGCTGGCACATGTCAGGCCACAGTGTACAGCTGGCAGGGCTAGAAACAGCAGCTGATGGGCATGGATTTCTGTCCCTGCCTCCAGATTGTGCACAGACTGCTTTTTCCCCCAGGGGATGCCTCAGGCTGGGGTCGGATACGTGCTGGTGCAGAGGCAGGTTGTGCTGTGCCACTGAGGCACCAGGAACCTCAGCAAAAGCCCACTTGAGGGATTGCATCAGGGGATGAAGTGTTCCTGGAAATCTCTCTTTCTCTCATTCTCCGTCCTTTCTCTCTCCCTTCCATCCCTCATCTGCCTCCCCCTGTTTTCTGGCCACCACGCTGAGCATGCACACACAGAGCTGGCTCCCAGCACAGTCCCAGCAGCTCCCCAGGCCCTGTGCACCATGGCATGGCCATCTCCCCCATCCCTGGGGCAGAGGCTGTTCCCTGCATGCAGACACAATGCCTCCTGTCCCTGTCCTGTTCCTCACCCCTGCCCAGGCTCAGCTGCAGGGCAGTCCCTGGGCAGCCCCCTGAGCTCTGTACCTGCATCCTTGTCCCTGCAGAGACCCCTCTGGGGACGAGGGGACATCTGCTGGAGTGTTTGGAGGTTGCTTGTGTTGGAGAAGAGCAATGGAGAAGCTGCTGAGCTCTTACCAAACTTCAACATGTTTCCCTGCAGTCTCCTTTGCTAGCTGAAGACAACAGGTATGTGGGTAAGGATGGTCTGTGAGGACCAAGGACCAGACAGAGCTCAGTTCACTCAGAGCTGAACCATGGGCCTATTTGTCCCCACCAAGTTGCTGGATCCCAGCTGTCACATGACAATAGACCTCTCTGTCCTGCTTGCCCATGGTCCAGCTCTCCCAGCCTCAGTTTTGTTGGGACACCAGAACCACCATACCACAGGTCCTTCTCCCTTTGCCTCCCCTTTTCCTCCACCATTCCCATCAACCTGCTGGAGCATCCCCCATAACTGGGGCCTTAACAGCTGCTCCCACCCCACCTGCTGTCAATTCTATTTAGGAAGAATTGGTGGATCTCAGGGACTGCAAATCACTTCTTTCCCTCAGCATCCCTGCTTCTTGCTACACACACACACACACACCTCACCACCCCCCTGCCCCCAAGTCCCCATGGGCCTGACAGCACCACAGAGCAATTTGTTCCAGTTTTCAATTTTCTGATAAACCAAATAACCAGGAAATGGCAACCCCTCTCCCATTACTGCTCCCCCACTGCTTAAAGAGGCCAAACTGCACATGGGGACACGACCCTTCAGCCTATTTCCCTTATCAGGCCCTTGATTATGCTCACCCTGCCAGGGAAGTCAGCATGGGGGATGGCTGGTCGCACACCAAAACTCACCTCTCTCCATGACCCATCAGCCACAGCCTGGCACTTTCCATGATCAGAGCACCCCTGGGCAGAGCAAGCTGGCAAGCCAGGGGCATCCGGGGGGCTCTCTACATAACCCCAGCCCGAGGGGTCTCCCCAGTCTTCCCCAGCTCCCTCCTGCCCATCCATCCTTCCCTGCGAGCCGGTGGGTGCGGAGACTGTCCCTGCCCGTGGCCAGGTCCCTCCACACAGGGGTGAAGGCTGGAACACAGAGGTTGATCAAAGCTGGCTCTGCAGCATCACCAGGAGAATTAAGAGGCTGAAAGAGAGGACAAGCAGCGGCTTTGAAGCTTGAGAGCTGCAGCCCTAATAACCAACTGCATCCACTCCTGGCTCTTTTCAAGGGCACATCGCTCACAGTAATTGCAGGGCAGACCAGCGCAGGCTCTTACAGAGCTGCCTGTGCTCCGTCCCCTCTTTTCTTCCTCT